TGCCAGGGCTGTTGAGGAGGGGGAAGCTGCTCTCGGCCAGGGCAGCCTGCAGGGCACAGGGCGGCCCTGTCAGTGGGCTGCACTCAGCAGGGTGCTGTCACTTCCTCACCCCTACAGGGCCTCGAAGCCTGTGTCCGAGCTGGCCCCGCGGGCTGATCTAGCCTGGCAGCACCCCGGCTTCCACCCCCACCCCCAGCCCCTCCAATGCCACATACCTCCCATGGCTGAGCTCTGACCCTGCCCTCCTCCCTCCCAGCTTTCCTGTGGTCTGGGCCTGGCTTGGCCCCTTTCGGGGAGACAGAGGACCTCCTGATTGACAAGCTACGGAGGGAGAGCCTGGTGATGCCCCCACGCTCCCTGCTCTCCCAGGCCCCGCCCCCACACAGCTGAGGCAGGTGGGCAGAGGGTCTGGGTTTGGGCCACTCAGGGTCGTCTTCCCCCTTCTCTCCCTCCTTCCCTCCCCCTAGAGAGGCCCGCAGGGAGGGTGGAGGAAGGTCTCCCTCCGGCCAGTGTGTGCGGAAGGGAAATGGGGGCCGGAGGGGACAGGGCAGCGGGCGGGCTCTGGGAGGCCCGGTCACCTGGTAGCTGGCGTTAAGTGCTCCGTAACTGAGGCCGGAGATCATGTTCTTCACCAGGGTGGGGCTCCTGCAGGAGAGAGACCAGCGTTTGGTTCATTCACTCGCCAGCTCCGCACTCACACCTCGACCCTGACCGAGGTCCCACCACTGTCCGGCAGCACGGTCTATGGAGCCCGTGTGTGCCCCAGGTACTCAGTCCTCACACTGACCTGGCCCGGCAGGTACCAGCAGCCCTGCACAGGGCAGGGCTGGGGCTTCAGAGGCTCTGGAGCAGGCCCCTGAACTGGTGAGTAGAACAGGGACCCCTCCCGGTGCCCGTTCACACCGCACTGTCCCAGCCCCTTTTCTCTCTGGTCTGGATTTCCCATGTCCGGGAAGGTCCAGGCTGTAGCCTCGACAGGCCTGTATTTGTAAAATCCACACCTTCCCGCCACCCTGAGTGTCGGCACATCTAGTAAGTCGTGTGCTCAGCCAGGCGCCGCACGCTCCAAACCAAAGGCTCTCTGCCCAGGAAGGTGCTCGGGAGTTGGTCAGGGAGGCGATGACGCCACGCTGGGCCTCTTCCACGATTAGCCCCCCCCCCCGTTTACAGAGCGTCTCAGAGAGGTTAGGGAGGTGGCCCAAGGTCACACAGCGGGGAGAAGTAATTTGAACCCAGGTCCCCTGACTCCAAGTGGGTACTGAGACATGACGATACCGAACATGGCTGGCATGTGGGGCACTCAGAAGGGTATGGCTCCCCTTCCCTCTTCCCGGCCCGACCCTGCCCCAGCCCCCACAGCCGCCTGGGGGTGGAGAGGCTCTTGTCCCGGGAGAAGGGTTCTTTGAGGGGAGCAGGACCCACGCAGAGATCCATCTAATTTGCCTTGGACCCCTCTCCCTCCCCACCTTGGTCTTGGGGCCAAAAAGCACAGGCAACAGGTGGCCCGGTGGGGTGTCTGGATGGGGAGAAGGCCTCTGGTGCTGGAAGGGAAGCCCAAGGGGGAGGTTTTGACCCCCAACTCCCAGTTCCTCAGTTTCCACTGAGACTGCTGTGCAGTGGAGAAGATCAAAGATGGGAGGTCAGAGCCGCGGCTCTGCCGTGGGTCTGCTGTGTGACCTCCCCAGCCCCTCGCCCTCTCTGGGACTCCTTTCCTGTGGGATGAAGAGGTGGGGTTGGCTCCTCCTGCCACAAGATGGGGGAGAGTGGCTCTGGGGATGGCAGCCACCTCACCAATGGCCACACTGACTGGCATCTGCCCACGTCCCAGCTCTGGCCATGCCCTCGGGCCCTTCTCTCAGGCAGAAGTAAGGGCAGAGGAAGACATAAACGTCCTCTTTCTAATCACCAGTCACTTCCAGATTCCGGCCTCCCATGAGCTCCTGCACCCCTTGTCTCCCCCTCACCCCCGAGGTGGGAAGGATTGGTGTGTG